CTGTATAACTGTATAATTAATTAAAAATATTGATTTGATTTTAATTATATATATATATATATATATATATATATATATATATATATATACAGTATGTATAAATATATATATATATATATATATATATATACAGTATGTATAAATCATAATATACATTTATTCATTAATAATATTAATTAAAACTATTTTACATTAATATTAACACCATTCATATACAATATAATAATAAGTAAATAAATAAATATTACACACACCTCTTATTCAGACTGCTGTAATACTCAATAATCAGACTGTTATAACACACACACACACACACTTCCTGATCAACTTACTGAACCAGGACAGTTCAATTTACTCCCATGGTTACAGATAGATCAGTTGGACTAGTCTCAATAGCTTTTCGTCGCCTCGGCTAATGAGGTTATATCCTCGTTTTCTACTCAAATCTCCATCAGCTGGAGATGGGCTCAATCGGCGACGTTTAGTCGAGCGAGAAGTAGTCTGAGAGAAGGGAAAAAAAGTATACTATGAAGGATACTATGAATGCAACACTGATTGGTTAATGGTACCTTAAGAATGTAAAAAGGTACAGAACTCTTTACTCTAGCTAATATTTGTCAGAATAAACATATATCAGTACAGTATTTAGTATATACTGCATAGTACTCAGAAAGCTAGTACTGCATTGTGAAAATAGCCTACACTCTTAAAAATAAAGGTGCTTCAAACGGTTCTTCAAGCGATGCCATATAAGAACCATTTTTGGTTCCACAAAGAACCATTCAGTCAAAGGTTCTTTAAAGAACCATCTCTTTCTTACCTTTTTATAATCTGATGAACCTTCTTTCACCACAAAGAACCTTTTGTGAAACAGAAAGGTTCTTCAGATGTTAAAGGTTATTTATGGAACCATTTAGACAAAAAGGTTCTTCTATGGCATCGTGAAGCACCTTTATTTTTAATAGTGTATGACTTACTTAATCACCTGGTTCACCTTTGTGTTTTAAAATATAAAACAATGAGGGTACAACAAAAACGGGGACAAGTCGGTATTTAGAGTGTGTGCTGTTTGGTGGGACACGAGGAACTCCCATAAACGGGTAGAAATTGGAAAGTGGAATTTAATTTTCACTTTTGTTTGTACTGTGCTGATGGCACAGATGAGAGAGGTTGAGGTGAGAAAAAAAGCAGCCGACTCTCTGAGCCCAGATCTGATGATGTAAAGCCTTTCTCCCACACGTCTCCTCTGACTCATCAGTACTTAAGGGAACGGCTGTTTGTTGGTTCACCTTCAAGCTGAAAGTGTAGCGTTATTTGTATTCCAGCCATCAATAATGGATAGTGCTGTTGGCTATTGTTTGATTCATGAAGAGAAACCTGCAGGCCAGTTTTGACAAGTTTCCTCTTCAGTCTGCGAATAAAGGCCTGTTCACATCAAGTCCAGTGATTCTCAACAATAGTGGCATTTTTTCGGTTTAAACAAATCATTGTTTTTATCATTGTTTTCATTCACAGAAGTCTTCAAAGACTGAGCAAAAAGTGTGACCAGCTACTGTAACCTACAGGAAGGGTCAGAGAATGAATCAGTAAAGATATATAAACAAATCATTGAACAAATCTGAATGAATCTTAGGTGAATGGAATCAAAAGGGTTGCATTATAAATTGAATCACTGAACCAATCTGCATAGATTTTTTGGAAATGGAATCAAAAGAGTCATGATACAAAAAAAAATCACGAATGGATCCTTGGTAAGTGGAATCAGAGTCAAGCTACAAAATTAATTAAACATTAAACAAATGTGCATTAATCTTTGGGGAATTGAATAAAAATAGTTAATTTACAAAATGAATTAGTGAACAAATTTGAATGAATGTTTGGAGAATATACTCAAAAGAGTTACATTACAAAATAATTCACTAAACAAATCTGCATACATTTTTTGGGGGAATGGAATCAAAAGAGTCATGATACAAAACAAATCAGTGAAAAAAAATATGTAGAATCCTTAGTAATTAGAATCAACGAATCAAATTACAAAATGAATCAGTGAAAAAAATCTGAATGAATCTTTGGACAATATAATCAAAAGATTTGCATTACAAAATGAATCATAGAAATACATTACAAAATGAATGAGTGAGCAAATTAGCATGAATCTTTTGGGAATTTTATAAATAGAGTCATGCTACAAAACATATGAATGAATCCTTGGTGAATGGAATCAAATAAGACACATTATAAAATTAACAAGTGAACAACTTTGAACTAATCAATGGGGAATGGAATCCCCCTTGGAAACTTGGAAAATAGTCAAGTTACAAAACGAATCACTGAAAAACAAATCTTTGGTCAACTGAAGCAAAGTCAAGTCACAGAACGAATCAGTGAACAAATGTGAACTAATCCTTGGGGAATGGGATAAAAAGAGTTCAGTTACAAAATGAATCAGTCAACAAAAGTGAATAAATCTTTGACCAATGGAATCAAGGAGAAAAATTTAAAGAATCAAAAAGAAAAGACTTAATGAATCAGTGAAGAAATCTGAACTAATCTTTAGGGAATGGTATTAAAAAGAGTCAAGACACAAAGTGAAACAGTGAACAAATCTGAGTGAATCTTTGGGGAACAGAATGAAAAATTCAAG